AGGAGCAAAATAGAAAATACACTTTTTCAAAGGCGAACAATGATTCAGCACATACGTTTTTGGATAAAACAAAGTTATGTTTATGTATGTATGTTTTTCATCATAACACTAACTGTACACATGCATCTATGTAGGTTAATGAAGACAATTCAGTTGTAAGATCTAATCTTATGAATTAAGGAGATTCAGCATAACTGAATTGTTGGCAACAATGTTGATTTACAGAATATAATAATGAGGCTCAGTGATCTTATGCTTTTATTTCATTTTATTTATTCTTTTTATTTTTAACTCTGTGGCTGAAGAAGTTATGAATGAGCTCTTTTTCTGTTTAACTGTCCAGACCTACTTGTAATAGGATTTCCTGGTAGGAAGTTAAAACCAGTACAAGGTTACGGACTTGAGTTGTAGACGAGGTTGACGAGGAAAAATAACATCAATTTCACTTGTTTGTTACATCCTGCTATATCGTAAGGAGCCGTATGCAAATAAAATGTTCTGCCACACAGACATGGGTAGATTAAGGTTATTGCCTCACCGTAATGAATGCTGGTTAGATACACCACCCTCCCTCATTTTGCGATGTCAGGCTCTCTTAAGTTTAATGGTTGATTGTAAATAATGTTTTCTAGTCTACTCTCTATTTTTTGTACACCTTATCGGAAATAACTTCCCCTACTAGCTCCACGTTTAAAGCAATCCAGACAACTTTGCAATGTTCATGATAGATAAAATATCCACGTGGCATGCCACATTGATTTTAAGTGAACTAATGGTATAAATTGTAAGATATGTATCAGTTAGTAGGTAGTTTGAAGATAGGAAGGAAAGTGAGCTGGAAAAAGAAGAAGGATCTCCCACATATTTTTTCTTGTCTGCTCTAATTCTGCTCTTCACCTAATTGTTTGCTTTTGAGTATTCAGCTTGTGCCTCAACTTTCTCTGTACTCGTTTGGCTGATGTCGATTGCTACCTTCTTGTTTCTCCTTTCTTGCATTTTATCAAGACTATCAACAGAGACACATTCCTTTTGATGGTTCTTCTTGTTCTTCACAACCTCCTGACATACTGAAGTGATTACCTCCTTGATCCCATTCTAACTGCTGTCCAAGGTTGTTTCATCTCCTTTACGTAGATCGTGGAAAGCCTGGAATCTATTACTGATTTCTATCTTGAATTCGTTGAGTTTAACAGTATTTCCAAAGAAAGGCCGTATTAATCTTTAGTGATACTGTCCGCCTCTTTGTCAAGTGCTTCTCGAGTTTCAGTTTCATTTAGGCTACCACCAGGTATTGATTTTAAATTATGTCGGCTCCTCTCCTTCTTATCACGTTCTCCATAATCATTGTGTACTTTTTATTAATGCAGATGTGATCGATCTGGTTCTGTGTAGTGTGACCGAGTGAAACCCATCTCTTCATTCCCAAAGCAACTTGGATAACTATCTCAGACACCGACATTGTGTGAAAATTCCATGTACCTAAATTAATAGTTGTTCTGTTAGTCAGAAGGGTCTCTAGTTTCGTGACTTTCGAAGGAACTCGTCTTTGATCATATGACATATAATAAGGGTAATTATGGTGCAAAACAGAGACATTTAGCTGTACTAGTGGAGGAGATTTGAAATAATTGACGTAACATAATCATGTATAGGTCGCCAAAATGTATCTGATGAACGCACAGTGTTTAGGAAAAGCAGCGACTTTTCATTCGTTCCCTGGTCTAATAATTGTAGGAATTATCTTATCTTTAACTGATCTGCATATTTTGTTATCAGAGGTTAGATTAAGTGTGACAGGATTTTGGTGTTGAATGTATAACCAGTTAAAATTAGTTGATAGTTATCAAAGTTTTTACTCTAGTCTGAAAGTCATGCTATCTCTATTTATCGACCTCCTCACTCTGGACCATTTGGCACCTTAAAAAGTACTCTAACTTTGTGAAATTAGAACTTAAATCCGTTTGTGTCGACAACTGCGTATGATGTAGACATAATTCAGCCAGATACAATTCAAATAGTTCGCACCAAAATAAATTTCGAAGAAAATAAATAATTTAACGAAAACGTCAGAATGAATAAATACGCAAAGTGCACCATCACATCTATAGTTAGATGAATAAAGTTTTATATATAGTTCAGAAAGCCTTGAATTACTTTTAAGTGAGTTCGTTTCAAATAGCGTTTTTCATATCAATCTTCGCCAACGAATGTACTTCTCAGAAAGGTCTGTAGCTATCAAACTATCAGGATTGAATATGAATGAACAATCAAGGCCACAGATATTATCTATAATCGGCAAATTTCGACATCCTTCTAGATGTTAATGGACTGAGGTTTTCCCCTTTTGCTTGTGCTTGCTGGTAATCCATAACGTTCTTCCTCAGACTTTGATATTGTGTCTCTCTAATCCCCAGGTAATTATTTAAAGTGATCTTTTCGGAACACCATGCCTCACAACTTGGTACGATTCACTGATTTTCAATGTATCATCATATAGCCAGGTGGATTATTTCAGGTTTTCGTGATGTCACTGAAATTTACATGTGGTAAATTAAGATTCTGTGAAGTCAACTAAAGGGATGAGTTTTGGGATTCTGTTCAGAGAATAGCACTTTTTTTCAGAAAGCGAAACTATTTAAGGTCTATTGAATAGAAGTGTAACGTTCTAGAATCTACATGTTAGGTTACAAATACATGATGTGTAAGATGAACCAGAAATAAGTTGCAGTAGTTAGGAGTTATAACTCCTGTTCTTCGCTGACCAGCTCAAACGTATGCACTGTTCCAGTAAAATATGTAACTTTTAAGCAGAAATCATTGTCCGATATACGGCCAAATGAGAGATAATAATGCGACTTCAGAAAGAAATCTAGCTCCTGTTTCTGCTTCCGGTGAAATTCACATATCCATTCAAATGATATGTAATAATAACGTAACCCGTACATAACTTAGTATGGCGACCAAGATATGACCGAACGACTTACAAGATGAAAAGACGGGTAATAATTCGCGAAGAATGAATTGATTAAATTTACTACAGGCTGAGACGAGCCTTGCGAGTCCGACACAAGCACATGCACTACAATACACGGATGTCTCAGTTCACATCGCAAGTACTATGCTACTCTCCATGGTTATGTTAACATGGTAGTGGTGGTGACTTTCTTTGTTTTGCCGATATCAGCGAAAGTTAAAGGCTAATCGTAATTATGACCAATGAAATGAACGAGTCTCTTTGAAAGGGTTTTGCATGCGATGAGACTTAACACCTGAAGAATTTTACATGATGAGATGACAATAAAACGTAGCAATCGACCACTGCAGAAGGTACTTTTATGATATGAAAATCAAAGAAACCACTTTCAGTAAGCTAGTAATTTCTTAGGTACGATGTCTCTTCTGACGGAAACATGGGGTATTCAGATTTGGCTCAAAGAACAATGAAAGTATCTGGGGCTTCCTCCTTACATAGACTATTGTCAGTATATTAAGGATTTGTTGAGTTCAAACATCCGCTGGCCATATATCAGGGTCTTTATGACACTATTACAGTATAATTGTAACATTAAAGAATTACCAAAGTAGGGCCATGATAGTCTTCTATTTTGATGTGGACCATGTTATTTTCAGTTCAGACAAAGATTCACCATTTTCTCTCTCGATGTTGTCTCTGGAAGCTTCTAGTTTTAGAAATTATACGGTGAGTGGACGCCATATATATTCCAAAAAACCATTTATATACGATCATTCTCAACCTCCAATTAGGTCGTTGAGGAAAAATAAAGAGATAATAGATTTGGAAAGCAGCATTACCAGACTTTGAAATACCTGAATTTTCTCGTGATTTATGAACACGGTGTGGGACATCATTCAAGTATTTATACTTTCCGATAAATGATTGATGCACGTAAGTGCCTTTTACTTTCAAACAAATAAATGAGTGAGCACACACAAAAGCAGTAACAGAAATTCTAATCGCCAGGACCCATAAATTATTAGATTCACTATTGAAAAATTTAGTAAAGAGAGTTTACCTTTGCACTCTTAACTCTAGATCGAGATCGAGTCGGGATTGAACATGATCACCATTATATACTTCTTACGAGCCCGTCCCCGAGAAGATAACTAAATCCATGGTAAAGAATATATTTGCTGGCGATTTCGTGGTATCGAAATAAGACCGAAATCGTGCTAGAAAAGACGGGAGAAATTACTGAGACAGTGGAGACAAAAATGACAGCAAAACGAACAGAAAGTTTGAGCGTACAAAGTGTAATAGTCGAAAAGTACAGTTTAACAATCACTGGTACTATTGGTTATAACGATGAATGTTTTGATTAAACCGACCGCGTTCTCTACATAAAAGTTGATTAACTACTACAAGTTCCTTTTGTATCAGAAGATCTAGAACATTATTTACTGGTAAGAAAATAATGTTCTAAGTAACCTTTATCAATACTTACGGAAAACTTATTAATTTCCGGTCTTCACAGTTAAGACTTTATGGAGGGTATCGCTACTGATCAACCACTACAAATGGCTTTGAAAAATTTGTGAAGTGGGTTACCTAATGTTCGGGAACGAGACCAAAAAACTGAGTGCTCAACAGGTTTCCGATCATCAGTGGGAAAAGACAGTCTTAATATTACCACTGGTGTTTTCTAGATACTTTTCAGTGGATGGTGTGATAACAGACTTGCTGGTTAGCCGTATCATGTCTGAGCTATCCAATTTCCAATATCTTTTTCACAAACTAGTATACACCAGTTGGTTTTCCTGCGCTAGATTCTCGTCCTAAGAATTCAGAAATTTGAGTGCTTGTTTACTATACTTGAAATTCTACTGCTGAGTGCAATTATTCTTCGTTTAAATGAACTTATCTTTAAAATAAACTCCATGTCCTTTTGTCGTAATGTATTGTCGTGCTACAGTTGGTCGGTTTTTTCTCTCTTACCGATTTCAAGCGCGTTGTTCCTCGGGACACTCGCTGTTTGCAAATAATGAACGATCTCCCTATCTATGTATTTACTGGACCTTCCGGTGCTGGTAAAAGTACGCTACTACAAATGTTGATGGAGAAGTTTCCCAATAGCTTTGGATTCAGTGTATCTCACACTACACGAAAACCACGTCCAGGGGAAAGAGACGGAATAGATTATCATTTTATAGACAGAGAAAAATTTCTAAATGAAATTTCCGAGAAGAAATTTCTTGAGTACGCAGAATTTGCTGGAAACATTTATGGGACTTCAAGATCATCTGTACAATCGGTAACTCACTATTCATACAGTTTTATCCCTATTATTTTTAAATATAAAGAATCAACGTGCTTCCTAACATTTTATTGCGTATTAAGACTAGTGGTTAAGGATTGTCTCAACCTACCATATTCGATTTCTTAGCTGTGTCCCTACCTCCCATAGTGTATATCGTATGTGATTCACAGGATCGTTGGTAAACTGAGTACCAGAATGATATTCTTCAAGTTGAAAGCTGCACAAAAGTCGAGTTGATTATTTGTACATCAAGCAACTCTAGCCTATTTTTTTAGAAACTACACACCTTGACATAAGTATTGACATATTAATGCTAGGGAAAATTCAGATGTAGGAGTGTCCAGACTTCTTTGTTCTTTTTATTAATATCAACTACAACGTAGGTAGTGCTTCGTCAAGTTTAGTCTCCTCTTTATGTCACCTGTTATATAACATGTTGGTTGGTTATTATAATCAACTGCCGGTTCTACCAAGTAGACCTTCATTTATCTTCCAGTAAAGGTGTGGTGTTTAGAAACCATAAAAATCTTGACAAACACAAAAGATCTCTGATATCTTTGTTCGCAGCGGTTCGCTTATTTAGAGATATAATCCAATCGAAGCACATTCCTGCTAGTTGATATCGAAATAAACGTCTACTTTCGCATGTTTTTTTCTGCAGAGTCAAGTAAACTCTGCATATTTACGACAGTGAGTACACACTTAGACTTTTTTGCATCATTATAGAAACAGTAAGCAACCAGCAAATTTTTGAACAGTAGATCTGTAGACTAATACGGTTTAAGATCCAAAGGAAAACACAAATAGATTCTTTCCTGTTGTATTTATTAGATAATCAGTTCTGGTTATTAGTCTTTGCCCTTCAGCTTCATAATATTGCCGAACTGATAGCCATACCAACTTAAACTACGACTCATTTTGTTTGCCGTACATTATTTCTCAGAGATCAGATATATAGTGATTCACTATCATTTATTCAAACAATTAAATCGGTTGGTAATCACTAAATCAGTCTACATCTGTGATTCTCACGTGTAAGCCGTCATAGCTTGATTCACTCATTATCTGAAGCCGGTGTTTTGATTCTGTCTTTAAATGTCTTCGAGGCATTGACAGCACATCATAAAGCGACCGATCCCCTCCTTTATCCGGGCTTGGGATCGGCAGTAACCCCAGAGGGGCTCTAGGCGGGGAAACAGGCATAAGTAATCCTAATAAAATCATTCTCAACTACTTTGACGGGCGATAATAGCCGGTTCGATTTTTTGAAATGACAGTTAAGGTGGTTAAACCAAAAACATAACATCAATGTATAAAGTCATTGTTGATTGAATCCATATTAGGTTTAAATTACACCGAGCGAAAAATTGCGTAAAGTGACCTAAGATCAGTCATTACGACATAGATCCCTAGTTTTAACACTCTTCCACGCATTTTTTATCCCATTTTCTTAAACCATAGTCTCTTCCATTCTTTTTCTTCATCATTAATTTTACTACATTGTTTCTACTTTTCTATTTCTATCGGATTGTACTGATATGGTTAACGGACACTTGTTTTGTTTTTTATAATGATTATGACTAATTAGAAGTGCTAAAAATATCAACAAGATAGTTTAGAGAAAAATACAACCAGTAAAAATTTTTTCCATTCAGGCTTACGTGACTTTGATGAATAAAGTAAAAAAAAATTTCAACAGAGCCACTATTGACTTCTTTATTAAACCATATGTGTTGCATTATCCTTCGGACCCCAATAAAGTAGACACCATAGACTGTTCTATTCCGGTTCTGTGAAGCTTTCTCCCATACCCTAACGTAGCGGTTTGATAATCGCTTCTCTTAAAACACCGCTTATAAGTAATATAAATTATGACAAACATTTAGGGGGAAGAATGAGATTATTGGTATCAGAAATAAGCTATTTGATGTATGTACCACTTCATAAGTTGACCTTCATAGACTGAAAAATTGGGGAAAGTTGTGCGCAACATAAGTTGTTCACAATCGTTTGCAATGGTGCAATTGCATCCATTTTCTGTGTTCTCTCAAATTATAACCTTCTGAATTCCTCCTGATATATTTTTCTTTTAAATTTATTCTACTGGGATATTTTTCTCGACTAATATCTTCAATCCCTAATCTTCTTGATTACCGCTAATACTTTTACTACCTTTACTACTATGGGATTTCAATCGACAATTCGATCCCTGTGTGCTAATGTGATATCCTAACTCGGACTGATGTGCGCACATACAAAGTTGTACGTTATAGTTAACTGACTGTAGGTATCAACTTTTGAAACAGACAATATTTTTTACACAATCACAGTCAGTTCTTTCTGTTCTCAAGGAAATCTCACTTGGAAATAAAAAAATTTATGTTGATCTTGCATTGTGTTTGCGTTCCCTAAAAATCGTCCCAATTTCATTGCTTATTTTTCTATTGTTTTTACCTCAAAAGGAATTCTAATCGATGCAGCAGTTTCAAATATCATTTTGGTTAGTGATTATTATAAGAGTGCAAAAAATTTTTTCCAAATTAAAATCAAACTTTTAAAGTATCACTTCATTCTAAAAATAAACCCTCTGATTACTTTTGTGCCCTTTTTTTCATTATCTCACCTTTAGGTACTTGATTCTGGTCGAATATGTATTTTAGATGTTGAATTACAAGGAGTGATAAGTATTCATGCAATTCAACCACCATTAAATGCACAATACATTCTTATTCGTCCATCATCAATGAGTGAATTGGAAAAACGTTTACGTGATCGAGGTACCGAGACTGAAGAAACTTTATCTAAACGACTTGCACGTGCTCGTGAAGATATTGCATTTTCTGAAACTGAAGAAGGTCAAAAACTATTCACTAAAATTATCATTAATGATGATCTTAATACTGGTTATAAAGAATTAGAAAATTTTATTCTCCCAGCTATTAAATGTGTCAAATGTGCATTATAATTAATTGCATTCAATGAAAATATCATTCATTCCGTTTATAGTGTCATTTTACTTATTGACTTCCAATTACTTACTTATTTACTTACTTACTATAATTTAACACTTGAAAAAAAAAGTGTTAGCATTTATCTGATAGTTTAACTTTTATTAGCCTATGCCACTTTTGATTATTAGCATGCCAGTTAATAAGTTGTATTTTTTTTTAAGCTACAAGTCTCACACTATTTATCATCATTATTATCATATAACTTCACAGAGTTATTATGTTGCTTCTCATCTTGTTAAATGATTCAAATCTAAATTAGTTATTGTATGATGACAAATTTATTTAAATATATATTACGATTAAATAGAAGTTTAATATCTTTCATCTTTTTTTTCTTCTTTCTAATGGTAGTGTGTTGTTAATTAATGATTGTCTACTCACTATAAAATTTTAATCTGCTGTTGTATTCCATATAGCTCAGTCCAATTGTTCTAATGCGTAACGTTGAGTAAAAGCATCTACTATTACCACATATATCAATTCAATCTTATCTGATAAAGATGATTTAAGTCGTTGATGATCATGATTGCTGCCAGACAGGCAGACAGACAGATACAACGCAGAACTTCGTACCTAAGTACATCAGTTCAGGTTGTCATACCATATTAGCACAGAGACGCAACTGTTAGTTCAAATCACATAGCGGTAGCGATAGTAGACGTATTAACAGTAATGCAGAAGATTAACGTTCGAAGATATGATTCGAGATGTATAATTCAGTAAGATAAATTTAGAAGGAGAAAGATTGAGATGATGAGGAATTCAGAAGGTTAGGATTTGAGAGAACACAAAGAATGAATGCACCTGCACCGTTGCAAATGATTTTGAGCCATGTCGTGCAAAGTCTTCAACCATCGGTTACTTTCGACTCATGGGCGGCCCTAACAAGGTATTTAACACCTACCAACATGACTCAGTCCACATGTCAGTGACTTCATAGATTTCTGCCTTGTTTTGGTTTGGCCGCCACCAGCTTTCTTACAACCTATTCCTACAGCACAAAACATAGTTTGTCGACGTAACCGGTAGTTGGGTATTCGTAACACATGTCACAACCACCCCACCTGATGGAGTTTCAATACTCCATCTATTGATCTACCATCCTTACCTAGGACCCGTTTCCTAACAACAGCATTTTTTATTCGATGGTCCCAAGATAAACGAGCAATGCTTCGACGCCACCTATGTTCGAAGACAAGCAATCTATGGATGTCCTATACTTTCACCGGCCATGTTTCGCATCCGTATAGTAGGACGGAGCGAACTGCTGCTCAGTACACATTAGTCCTATGGTTAGCAAACGGATATCTCGCCTACGCTACAAGTGAAGCAACTTGGCGAAAGCTAATCGAGCCTTCTGTATCCGTGCTGAGATTTCGTCAGTCACCAGGCCATCAGTACTGATGAGACTCTCGACATAAGTGAAGCAGTCTACATGCTCGACTACTTCATTCCCTATCCAATATTTCAGGTGTCGATGCAACCCAATCTTGAAGCAACATTTTGCATTTCGAGGGAGCGTAATTGTCGCCACGTTTATCATACACTTTACCCGATGGATACTTAAGATTAACTGAGAGATTACTGTTAGGTTTGGACTCACGAACCAGCAATACTGTCTAATTTACTTCTATGGATATTCTAAGTAGATGATGTAGAAAGATGTACTTCATTAGCAGCGTTTTCGAAGTAGCCATTAGTTGCACTTACAAGTCATCCTTACAGAGGTTAAGAGAAATTAAGCGAGTCGAAGAAGTTGTAGACTTACATTTATTAAGGTGAATGCATGTTGTGAATGCCATCGTTGGCCAGACACCATTAGCAACAATGTACTGTGGCAGAGAACAAACCAGATTCCTTCAGTGGAGGAGGAAATCAGGAAGAAGCGGTGGAAGTGAACAGGACACACATTACGAAAAGTACCCAACTGCGTCACAAGACAAGCCCTCACATGGAACCCTCAAGGCAAAAGGAAAAGAGGAAGGCCAAGGAACACATCACTCCGAGAAATAGAGAAAGATATGAGAGGAATGAACAAGAATCGGACAGAACTTGAAAGGGAAGCCCAGGACAGAGTTGGTTGGTGAAAACTGTTGGGCGGCCTATGCTCCATTGGGGCTAACAGGCTTAAGTAAGTAAGTAAGTAACTATGTTGTGCCATACCTGCTGCGTAGAGACTAATTACAGTTCTAAATTTTGACTCAGGTTAGTTTTTCCATATAGACTACCATTAGAATATGCTGATATAAGCTCTAAGTAGATTAGATAACTGTACCAAATCAATCGTTGCAGTTACTATGTTTAAAGTGATATGGGAAGTCGTAGATTATGTACATGAGTTGTGAGTAGTGGAGTATTGAGGCTTAAACAAGAGTAAGACAAGTTGGTAGAGCAGCTCATTTCTAACACATGATGGGAATAAGAAAGAACTGTTTGTCCGTTACCACGACTGACGTTGATTAGGATCATCAGTAATTTTTTCCTGACATCTATAAACACATGTTACTACAAATACAATAGATCTGGATTTATTTCATCACTGTGTAGTGTGTATACTTTCATATTGAGCCCACAGGCTTCATTTCAGCCTTTGGAAAAATTATTAGTTCACTATTCGTAAGTTATTATTCACTCGTCTTTTGGGTTTGCCAGTCATTCGCTCATACCTTGGTTACTTTTATTCCTGTGTGTGTGTGTGTGCACGCTATCCTCGCTTATTAAGATGTATGGCTCACTATAAATGCTTAGGCATGCTTCATCGAATTGAGTTTGTTCACCCTTCCTCTCCGCTTTGCTTGTATGCTCTTCATTATCATGTTTGCATGAACAATTGTCTGAAATCAACTCATCCAACCGAATCCATATTTAGCTTCTTACTACCGCTGTTGTACAAACGGGAAGATTTACTTCATAGCACGTTTAATTGTTGATAAATATCGGAATCAGATTGGTGGGCCATTAAATTTAGTGAGCCCTACATCGAGTCGAACGCAGCCACCAAAGTTGTATGCTTAATCAATAGTAAAATAAGTGAATATTATGAATCGGTGAAATAAGGTAATTTTCATATATTAACCATGAAAACCTGTTTAAAACAAATCTTTTATTGTCAGAAAATTAATTACAATCAAACTTATTCACAAAAATTTCAAATACTTTTTATGTATACTGGTGAATGAATTAATTAGTTGGAATAAATGGAAAATAATTGTAAGCGATTCTGTAATCATTAATAATATGATTCTTCAAATATTGTTCCTAGTATTTTTGAACATGTTCATTGCGAATGCTCAACTATCGACTGTGTCTAGACTAGAAAGTTTTAACTGATAGTTAGGGACTTTAAATGATATAGCTTAAAATCATTTGCAATGGTGTAGGTGAGTGCATTCATTGTTTGTGTTCTCTCTCATAACTTCATCAGCTCAGGATATTTTCTTATCTCTTTTTAAAATTTATTCCCCTGAATTATGCTACTTGGATAATTTCTTCGATTCCCAATCTTATCCAATACTGCTAATAATTCGCCTACATCTACCACTATTGGATTCGAAGGATTTGATTTCGACCTTCCTTCAAATCCAAAACATGGCAGAAATCCATGAAGTCATTGACGAGTGGACTGAGTCATGTTGGTAGTTGTCGACTACCTGGTTGGGATCCGTGAGATGATGATAATTGATGGTTAGATACCCTGAATGACATGGCTCAAAACCGTTCTCAATGGCGACGGTACATTTATTCTCTGTGTTCTCTCAAATCCTAATCTTCTGGATTCTTCAACACCTCTAGTTTTGACTTGATAAACTTATCTCACTGAATCATACTTCTTGAATAATATCTTCTAATCCTAACCTCTTCGATTACTTCTAATACCGTTACTACCTCTTTTACTATTGGATTTGAATTGACAATTACATCTTTGTGCTGATGTGGTATGGCGACATGAACTGATGTATTTACGTACGAAGTTCTACGTTGCATCTGACTGCCTGAGTGGATTCGAATTGACAATTGCATCTCTGTGCTAATGTTGTGTGGCAGCTTAAACTGATATATATTTATATACGAACGATGTTCTATGTTGTAAGTGACTGATTGTTCCCAGTTAATTCAAGTTAACTTGTTTTAGTTGTAACGTTTATTACTAAAAACTAAATTTCAGTCTACAAATCAAACCAAATTTGTATCAATATCTTGAAATAATGTATGTTTGGGTTGTGTGTTATTTTGAATACTGACTATAATTATACTACCGCCAAACAATAATGCGTTGTGTGAAATTTAAATGATGTTTTATTTGGGCAAATAATTTGAGACAACACTTTTGCCGTCTAACTTTTCAAGCAATGACCTACTAGCATTCGCTTGTTGACTTAAAATATGCCGGTGACATAGTAGTTCTACATGGTGAACATGCTGACAAAATGCAGAGTCTTATCACCACCTTTAACAACATTACAAGCGTGTTCAGAGTGTGTTTCTCCCTCTCGAAATGCAAAATATTGCTTCCGGATTGGCTTGCATCAGTACCTGAACTAGTGATGAGAAGTAAAGTATTTGGGCGCGTTGACTGCTTCACTTATCTTGGAAGTCTTATCAGAGCTGGTGGCCTAGTGTCTGACGAAATATCAGCACGGGTACAGAAAGCTCGATTGGCTTTTGCCAACTTGCGTTACATATGGCGTAGGTGAGATATCCGTCTGCTAACCGAAGGACGAGTCTACCATGCAGCAGTTCGCTCTGTCCTATTATATGGGTGTGGAACACGGTCAGTAGGAATAGAGGACATTGGTAGGTTACTGGTTTACGATCATAGGCTTCTTCGAATCATCGCTCGTAAATGACGATACAAACGACCTATCGATATCGTTTTGAAATAATTCATTATATTCTTATCAATTAGTAATATTAATCGACTATTATGTGCTCACTAGTGACTAGCTTTGTGAGGAAATTTTCGTAGTTTTAGTGAGATGGTGTGACCAGTGGAGTTCAACAGTGTCGGACATAAGGTAATTAGTTAGCCACCGAAGACAATAGATGCGACTGTGCATTATTGTGGATTTGTCTAAGTTAAACGCTAACACTGTTAAATATCGGCTCAGTGGTCATGCAGTTAAAGTTTAGGGTTCAGTTTCCATATGCGGGGGTCATGGATGTGCATCGTTGACAGGTATCATACTAGGATAAAACTCCCATCTAGAATGCTTCCAGGTTTCCAAATGCTGGTCTAACAACACTGATCAGTTCATACTTACTTACTTACTTACGCCTGTTACCCCCAATGGAGCATAGGCCGCCCACCAGTTTCCTCCAACCAACTCTGTCCTGGGCTTCCCTTTCCAGTTCTGTCCAATGTTTGTTCATTCTTCTCATATCTTTCTCTATTTCTCGGCGTAATGTGTTCCTTGGTCTTCCTCTTTTCCTTTTGCCTTGAGGGTTCCATGTGAGGGCTTGTCTTGTGACGCAGTTCGGTGCTTTTCGTAGTGTGTGTCCTATCCACTTCCACCGCTTCTTCCTGATTTCCTCCTCCACTGGAATCTGGTTTGTTCTCTCTCACATCATCAGTTCATGATTTCAGAGAAACTCATCAATCTCCACAAACCCACATTAATTATTTCAATATGTTAACCAATTCAAAATAAATCACTTCAAATTATTCATCCGTCGTCTTATCTTTGTGAAACTGTTCTATAAAAATATCTAACAAGAGACTATATTTTGATCGTGATGAACATTCATCTTAGCACATCATACATAGAGATGTATTAATCTTGTTTTTAATGAAGACTATTGAATAAATTTATACAAAACTTGAATATTTGTTTGTTTTATCTCAATTTCTTCCTTTGCTATAATCTGATTAGAAAAAAAATAATCCATAACTGTAACAACGTTCAACAGATATTTTGATTTTTAGTTGTATAAGGGGAAACTAAAAAATTATGACAAGCAAAGCAGTGATAAGTGGTTATAGTACTGTTGTTTCCAATCAATAAGTTGACGTGTGATTGTTTTTTTAAAAAATGAAATGTATGTAAAACTCATTTCTAACAATGATTTATAACAGAAAATCTGTATCACTCTTACTAACTCATTGATTTCTGGTTAAAGTATTTTTAGCGAGTTATTTTTCCACGAGAGATAGGGACACTAACCCTAACCATGCTCAATCCTTCTGCTTCATCCAGGGCTTGGGAACGGCATTAGCCCCAGAAGCGAGCTGCAGGCGGAGTTCAATGATCAAACTTCATGCTTTATTGTTATATCACTGCAAACTTATCAGGCGTTCAATGTTTCAAGGATATTTTCTTGTTTAAAATTACTCAACAACTATGATAATCATTCAGATGACATCAGTGACATTATTTCTGTTGTCAGGATATTCACCAAATATCCTACGAAGAATCATTTTCTGTCAATGTCACGTACTTCAAATGTTGTTTCTTATTGGTTGTCCTGACTATCAATGTCACTTCAAATGTTTTATCCTATTGGTCGCCTTAACTGTCAATGTCACAGACTTCGATGCTGTTTCCTATTTGACTTAAATGTATAAATACGCATTATCTGTAACGTTTTATGACCCGGATCCTCAGTCCGGGATCCGTATCTTCTTCTGGACTCGGACCCCATACTTTCTGGATGCTCGTAGAATACACGTTCTACTTCATATCAAGTCTTCCTCTTTTACTCCATGGGTGATTGGGATATTCGGGTTAGAGTAGCATGTCATGTCGCCGGATCCTTTATCACCTCTCTCGATTTCCCACTAAGGTAAACTCGTAATAGTTTAAGCATATCAAATTGACATTGTTTACATACAATGCGTTACAGAAATTAAGAATATTTAACTATTTTCAATATATTTTTCATGAACTAATAATCCTATTAATAAGTTTGTTTGTACCTAAGATCAATGCATGGATTGTTCACTTTTGTAAATCATATGTATTATATTGATTTTTGTTGTGCATGAGTAATTTTGTTCAGTTTGCTTGTATTTTCTTCTTTTAAGGCTTTTCATAGATTTTTACCATGGCGCCGAATTCGATCGATTCTGTTCATTCTATGCATCATATTGATTGTGTTGTTATTACTCAAACGACAAATGTTTACCATGTTTTATTCATCGAATGAAATGATCATCACTCCAATTGACATGGTAAGTTTTCGCATGAAGAATGTATATATATATATATATATATATATATATATATATATATATACATATATATATATATATATTAGGAATTTGTTTTAATTTTAATCATTGAGTGGAGTTTTGTGGCGTTGACCGGTTCAATTCATGTGATGAACAGTGTGTGTGTGTGTGTGCACCAGTAGGTCAAGCCTACCCATGGTTTGTCGCCTAGTTTATGGACAAACTAATCAAACATTTCTCTTCTCGAGTCATTGATTCACATGTCGTCGTCTTGACCTTGTCAATTATTCATTGATAACCTTGACTGTTTTATTATTCGGTTGGTATTTTTATTTCATACCGTCGCGTTTCTAGACAAAGAAAGAAGCCTCAAAAAATATCAACGAAGAGGTGAGTAGGTTAATTGCATTTGTTTTTGATGAGGCATGAGTAATTAACTCTATTTCTAGCCAGACATAAATAGACTATAGACATGTAAGTGGTGATATACAAAGTAAGCAATGTATACACATACTCATTGAAGTGAAAACAGTCAAGATTTTTTCAGGTAGAGCTTTGGAGGTTTGTGTTTTTACACAGTTGAAATCAATCAGTCAGTCAGTGTTAGACCACCATTAGAAACCTGGAAGCACTGAAAGACGGTCGTTTCGTCCTGGTATGGGACTAGTTCATCAGCAGTGCACATCCACGACTCCTGCACCTCGCCGGAGTCAAAAGACATTTAAATGATGATTCAAGAGGAACAAATTAATTGGTTTGTTCAAAAGCTAGAATTAACCCATTTGGACAGTCAGTCAGATAGTCAGCTACAACGTAGAACTTGATATATACATATATCAGTTCAAGTTTCCATATCACATTAGTACTCATACATATCGAATTGTCAATTCAAATCCCATGCTAGTAGACGTTACAGAATGATTAGCAGTAATTAGACAGATTATGGTTCGAAGGTTTTATTCGAGAAGATTAGGATTTGAGAGAAGCCAAACGCTGGATGCACCTGCATCATTGCAAACGATGTCATTCAAGGTGTCTAATCATCGTTTATTATCATCACGCAAACCCAACCCAGATAGTCTGCACCTACCAAAATGACTCATTCCATTTGTCAATGACTTCATGGGTTTGTACTGAGATAGTAGTACATACACAACAAATGTTTCTAAGGCTTGGATGTTTTTTTCCCCATGACCTGAAATCTATGGATTCTCTCAGCGTTCGCATTGTAGATATCATCAGATTGTTGATCTGTCCTGTAATGGAACTCGGTTTTCCTTAATGTTGTCTCACAGCAGATCAATCTGATAATTTATTGAATAATTATATTCATGATAAGATCAATTAAAAAATAATATTGAATTCAATGTTGTGAGTAGAATTTGCATACAAAGTGTCAACCAACCCATACTATTCAATAATCAATTTATTCTGTTCAATTTCCAATCTTTCCAGTATTTTAATTGAATTATTGTATTATTAGGAAAAACTAACTTCAAACAAGTTTAATCAATAAACGGTTATGTAATACTACTGGTATTTGTTATTGTTGTTGTCAGTGTTAACTATTTTCAACTTGTTTCATTGAAAGTTCAGTCAATGTTCAAGTTTTGTTTTCCTTACTTTCAATTATCAATACTTTTAATTCTTTCATATCGTTATAGAATTAAACAAATGTAATAAACATTACGGGGTTGTAATGATGATTAAGTTACACATTTTTGAAACCATAAATCCCGTAATGTAAATTACCTGTGCTCACTAGTGAATAGCTTCGTGAGGAATCTCCGAGTTCTAGTGGGAAGACGTGACCCGTGAAGTTCAGCTACCGAAGACTGTGTATGAGGTTGCGCAACTCCATGAATTGATCAAGTTAGACATTAGCACCGTTAGATATAGGCTCAGTGGTCCGATGGTTAGGCGTTCGCTCACAATACCGAAGGTCCTGGGTTCGATTCCTGCTGGGTGCAGGAGTCGTGGATGCGCACTGCTGAGGAGTCCCATACCAGGACGAAACGGCCGTCTTTCAGTGCTTCCAGGTTTCTAATGGTGGTCTAATATTGATCGATTCATGGTTTCAAAAAGGTGTAAATATAATAAAGTATCTTTTAGGTTTTAACACGTTTTTCTTACTCCCTAGTATGATATGTTTTTATAAATTATACGTAGTATTTTATACAGATTAACCTCATTTAAAGTGTCATTAAAAATCACGAAGCATCAGACAAGCTGTTTCGTCTTAGCTATGAGCTTTTTCATCACGTGCACACGCAAAATCAATCACAATATAAGGTCAAAACATACATGGGTCTCTCGTACAAATGCTCTTGTTGATGAGAGTTCCTCCAAGAGACCTGGATTCAACTCTTAATAGGATCTTGTGTATGCATTTGTCATAAAATCCTATACTAGAATAAAATAGCTATTCAATGCCCTCTTATCTTTATTGGTACTCTAAATGCTTTTAATCTGTGATGAATGCTATCTATAAATTACAATACAGCATTTTCCACAAAACCTCTTTCAGTATAGTGGATATTATACTGTATTTAGTGGGTAATAGCTATATACTCAACACAGTTGAACTACATTGGTCACGGTCCTTCAATAGAACTCTGAGAATATCCTGACGAAGCTAGTAACTAATGAGCTCATGATAATTATCAATGTAGGCTTATGGAGATTGTTGAGTTTCATTGAAATCATGAATTGTTTCAATGTCAGATCACCAGTAGAAGCCTGAAAGCACTAGACAGCCGTTTTACCTTGTGTTGTCTTGAGGTTAAACGTTTGCGCACAAGACCGAAGACCCTAGGTCGATGCACACTGCTAATGAATCGCATACCAGGACGAAACGGCAATCCAGTGCTTCTAGGTTTTTTAAATTGTGATCTAACAATGATCGGCAGCATCATCGACGAGAAAGTTGGATCCGATGCAGATGTGAGGGCGCGGATTGGCAAAGCAAGGGCTGCATTTCTGCAATTGAAAAATATCTGGAACTCCAAACAACTTTCAACTAAAACCAAAATCAGGATTTTCAATACAAATGTCAAGACAGTTCTACTGTATGGAGCGGAAACTTTGGAAACTACCAAAGCCATCATCCCCAAGATACAAGTGTTTATTAACAGTTGTCTACGCAAACTACTTCAGATTCGTTGGCCAGACACGATCAGCAACAACATACTGTGGGAGAGAACAAACCAGATTCCTCAGTGGAGGAGGAAATCAGGAAGAAGCAGTGGAAGTGGATAGGACACACACTACCAAAAGCACTTAACTGCGTCACAAGACAAGCCCTCACATGGAACCCTCAAGGCAAAAGGAGAAGAGGAAGGCCAAGGAACACATTAGGCCGAGAAATAGCGAATGATATGAGAGGAATGAACAAGAATTGGACAGAACTGGAAAGGGAAGCCCAGGACAGAGTGGGTTGGAGAAAACTGGTCGTGGGCGGCCTATGCTCCTCCATTGGGGGTGACAGGCGTGAGTAAGTAAGTAACAATGACCCATTCATCATTTCAACATTGTTTCAATCAATCAAAATATTCAATATATACATATTATCTATCAAATTTTATTGTTTAAGTTTAACTATAAAGTTGAGAATTTTATTTTTAAAGAGTAGAAAAAAGGCACTAATAGCAATATCATATTTTTCATCAGGACAACTTTTTATTATTATACTTAAGGTAATTGATTCAAGAAATAATTATTTGAAGTTTAGTTGATCAGGTTTTAATAATAACTAGTGAATCATTGTTTGTCTGTTTGTTTGTGAATGTGTAGTTTTACATTGTGTTGATACTTTGCTAAAATCATTGTTGAAGTGCCCTAAAACTTCGTTCGTATAAGTGTCCATAAAAGCACACAAACGCCAAGAAATGTTTTATCCAGTCAGTTTCGTATAATACTGTTATACTGGTCTCTAGATATGCTTAAAACTAGTACGGGTTTACCTTTCTCGAAAAAAGAGAACAAAACCATGAACCAGCGTCCAGGTAGGCTACTCTGATCCGATCGTCTTAATTGTACCAGTAAGAAGTCTTGATATAGCGTAGAAAGTGTATTCTACAAACATTCAACCAGCACACAAATCGCGTTTTTTTATACTCCATAGAGACGTCCTTGAGAGAGTTACGAAATAGCACATTAAAATGACACAGTAACCAATCACAGCCAAGGATTTTCCTGGTGGAGAATGTGGTCTCAAGGTCAACTGATCGGTCCATGAAATAAATCCAAAATAAAGATATTTATCAAGCGAGTTGTGGGAATCTAACATCCCCAATAAATACTTTTGCGGGAAGATGTGAAAAGTGCAGAATCATGTGCTGTGAATCTGATTGGATATTTAGCCATATCGCTACTATATTTAGGATGGTTTCTGAGCCTTCCAGAAGTTTGACGTTCATGAGTAACTCGATGAATACTCTCATTTTTCAGTGCATGAACTATTATTGGCCTTAAGGCATCGTTTTCGTAATTCGTGCCGTTTTTGTTGTGTTCCATTCGCAGTGTATATTTAGTGTATTGTGGTTATTAGAAGCAGTTAGGAAATTAGATTTTGCATTCATTTAACAAATTTATCAATCATAAAACAATATTGATTAAGGAAAGTTTGAAAAAAATAACAGTCTACTATTTTAAATTCGTTTTTCTTGTATCGTTCACTTGTAAGATGCTTGTTATGAAAATTTTAAAAACGTGCTCCAATTCAAATAATAACAATCATGTAATATACAATTTTCATTATTTCAATTTCCAATAGTTTTTCATTAAAATCATGAATCAGTCATTGTTAGATCATTATTAGAAACCTGGAAGCACTGAATGGTCGTTTCGTCCTATTATAGGATTCTTCATCAGTGCACATGCACGACTCCCACTCATGGGAATCGAACCCAGGACTTTCAGTCTCGCGCATGAATGCCTAACCTCTAGAACACTGTACTAGTATTCAACGGTGTTCATGTCTAACTTTCATCAATCTAAGGATTTTTTTTTTACTCAAATTCATCCAATGTCTTCGATAGTTATTGTCTACAGGCGATAGGCTGATCATAGCTTTTCATTAGAGTTCCGAAAATTTCTTGACGAACCTAACCACTAGAGAGTACATTGTATGCTCTTTATGAAAAATAACAACAAATACCACCGACTGCCTCGACGAGCTATGTTTTGTGGTGTAGCAGTAGGTTGGAAGAAAGTTAGGGGCGGCCAGACCAAAACATGGCAGAAATTTATGCAGTCATTGACGAGTGGACTTAGCCATGTCGGTAGGTGTAGGCTACCTGGTTGGGATCCGCGAGATGAAAGCCACCAATGGTTAGAGACCTTGAACGACATGGCTCAAAATCGTTTGCAATGTCGCAGGTGCATCCATTCGTTGTGATCTCTCAAATCCTAATCTTCTGGATTCGTCAACACCTCTACCTTTGTCTTTCTAAACTTATTTCACTGAATTATACTTCTTGAATAATATCGTTGAACCGTTATCTTCTCCATTACCGCTAATATGTCTACTATCTCTACTATGATGGGATTTGATTTGACATTTGCGTCTCTGTGCTAATGTGATGGTATGGCAACATGAACTTATGTATATACATACGAAGTTCTACGTTGCAAATGACTGACTGACTTCATTTGATTCAGAAAAAAACTCTTCATACAATCGAAAATATTCTCATTATTATTACGTGAAATTTTTGCCTCGTTAAATTTATTTCTCCATATATATATATATATATATATATATATTTTCATTTCTTATTTCAAATAGAATCAATCTAGTCTAAATTGGAATATTCCATCAAATCGTATTCGATCAATATCAACTAATATCAAATTAAGTTATCGTGTACATGGATTCTATTATGCATGGTATGATAGCCCACGAAATTCATCAACGAAACTAATTTATAAATTTAACAATAATAATAATAATAATAACAACTGGACACATTGGAATCATCCACAGTTGAAACATTGGAATGCTAAAGTGGCTAGTGCTTATTCCACTGAATCACATTATCCACCACATTTGTTGGCATCATCATTCTATCCAAAATTAGGTCCATATTCATCGAAAGATTTGTCTATTGTACATAGTCATATGGAAATGATTCAATTTGCTGGAATTGGTAAGTTTGTATTCTTTTGTGGTTGTTCTAGACTGTTTATTGATCAGTATGTTAAAATCGAATTAGGGTTTGTCAGTTTTTAGTGGTCTACGATTTGATTTTTGCTTGGACAAATGATTGATAGGCTAGGAAATATTTCTGTATAGCATTAGTCAGGAATAACGTTTCAAGGACTCGAATCGTTTGCATTAGCGGTGCAGTGTGATAAAGGAATGTGAGAAGAGTTAGTTGTGGAGATAAGAGAGGTATTAGAGGGTGTAGGAAGGATTTGATTTCGACCAATTTGGTCTCATGTGTTGTTCCGGGTATGAGGGCGGTTGTCACTTCCCGGCTGCCCACACAGTGAAAGGTTGTTTCTTGACGGACCTGAAGAGGAAGGTAGATTAGTGTTGGTCTTAGAGACCCGGGTGCGTGACCGCAGGGTCCAGAGAACTACTGCTTGAGGCCAGTTACGCACGGCCTTCTTATGAAAGGTTTTTTGAGTTTTAGCTCCGCTCTTGAAAGCTCTTCGTGGAGACGGAAATCCGTGTGGTATGGTGAGGTGTGACATTTTTAGGGTCGACCTCTTCTAACCCTTCTTTCCTTGTGAGAAGGCAGCATCGCTGCAGATGCTGGTTGTCCGAGGAAAACAACTTACTGCTGTCACACCCCTCTGCAGTCAGCATTACGACTTCGTCCTTAGACCTTGGATAGCTGCTTTTAGTCTCATCGTTCTGAAGTTGACCTGCCTGGCATGGTAGAACCTTCAGGAACATATGTTCCAGCCAGTAGAGCTCGGTTGGGTCATGACGATAGTCAAGCCCGACCACCACGTCAAGGTTGCAGCTTCGGTCGGGTCTGTATAACATACTTAGGTGAATCATGTTTGTCCGATGGCTCTAGAGTAAGAAGTCATAAATACCGATTCAGTTAGATTAATTTATTTCGGACAGGCATGGGGATAAAGAGTGTAAGAGCAAAGCAGAGTGAAATGAAGCTGAGTGAGCCAACTGAAAACAAAAACGGCATGACTACGTATTTATAGTCAGACATGTGATAAGCGAAATAAGCATGCATACACACACACAGTCGAATAGCATCAAACAAAGCGAATAGTTGGAAAGGTTGGAAATCGTGTGAGTGATAATCAGTGCACAATGAATTGATTAAATTTTCCAAAGGTCACAGCATAAATGAACGTCTGGAACTGAAAACAACTATCAACCAACACTAACTTCACAATTTTCAATACAAATGTCAAGATAGTTCTTTGGAATGGGTTGGAAACTTGCAGAACCATGAAAGTCGTCATTTACAATATACAAGTGTTTATTAACAGTTGTTTACGCGACATAACTCGGATCCGTTCGTCAGACACCATCAGTAACACAACCTACTGTGGGGCAAAATAAACCAGACTCCAACAGACAAAGAAATCAGAAAGAAGCGCTGGAGGTGGAAATGACCCACATTACCGAAACAAGACAAGCCTTCACTTGGGGTCCTCAAGGTAAGAGGAGAAAAGGTGCATCAAAGAACACATTCCACCGAGAATCGGAAATAGACATGAAAAAAAGAACAGCAATTGGATACAACTGGAAAAGAGACGGTGCAGAAGATTTGTAGCTCAGGTGGATGATTGTAGTTGTGGTGTTTGATTCTCTTAGCTGGATGTTTTGGTTGTGGAGCTTTCATCATTGTTCTTCTACTGAAAAACATCATCAGCACTCAGGTCAATCAGCAATCAACAAACACATCGTCACTGACCCAATTTATCAACCAATCAGGAAAATCATAGATGACATAGGATCAAGAAACAGATCAAAAAGGGGGATACAATCAAAACAAAGGTGCAAACAACTACAGGTTTAAGGTCAACAACAACCAATCAAGATCGAGGTGAACAGAACCAGCTACAGGTCAAACGTGTAGAAATTCAGATGATTCACTTCTATCTGAAGTTTGTGCTGATGATGTTGTTCAGTAGATGAACAATGAAAGCTTCACAACTAAAACATCCAGCTTAGAGAACCAAACACCACCACAACTGGAAAAGAAGGTCCTGGATACAGTAGGTTGGATAATGCTTATCGGTGGCCTATACTCCATCTGGAAGGTAATAGGCATAAAAATTGTAGTTAGTTTCTTTGGATTTTTTCCAATGTAATTCTATTTTTTTGTCAGTAAACTGTTAGTGAGTTGAAAAAAATTGTATTTTTTTCCTTAAAGATTATTTTTTTTAACTGTTTTTATTTGAGTTCATCACTGTTTGGGACGTTAGATCCCCAGAACTCACTTGATAAATGCTTTAACTTTGGATTTCACGTTTGTGAGCATAGGCTGATCAGTTGACCTTGAGATTTCATTTCCCACCAGGAAATCCTTGGCTGTAATTGGCCGCTGTGTATTTTTGTGACTGTCCCAAGGACGTTGTTATGATGTATAAATAAACGAGAGTTGTGTGTTTGATTGTGTCGCGCTTGCTGGGTGTTTGTAAAATATACTTTCTTCACTATATTAAGACTTCTCGCTGATACCTTTTGGTGAAGGGATCACAGTAGCCTATCTGGACGCTGGTTCATTGTTTCGTTCGCGTTTATCGACTAAGGTGAACCCATAATAGTTTCAAGCGTACCTAGTGACGAACCTAACAATTACCCAATGTATATACAATGGAATTATTGTAACACAATTTAGTAAACAAAGATTATAATTCAAAAAAGAAGCCTGACTTTGACTGATTTTGAAATAAACCAAATAATTAACTTTATTACTATTTAAAGAGTTTTATAAGTTATTGCTAATTCTGTCAATGTAAGGTGTAAAAATAGTTTTATATTATTTAGAGTTCACAATAAGAAGGTTACATTCTTTTAAATTCTTTGACCTAGACAGTATGATGAATAAAGAGTTCACTAATCTACTAGGTAAGGATGATGAAAGATCAATAGATGAAGTATTGAAACTTCATCAGTTGATGCAGTTGGGACATGTGTTACATATGCAAAACCATCGACTGCCTCGACAAGCGATGTTTTGTGGTGAAGTGGTAGGCTGCAAGAAAGCCAGGAGCGACCAAACCAAAACATGGCACAAATTCGTGAAGTTACCGACAACTGGATTGAGTCGTGTTGGTAAATGCAGATTACATAGTTAGGGTTGATGAGATGATAGTAACTGACGGTTAGAAACCTTGAATGTCATGGCTCGAAATCGTTCGCAGTACTGCAGGTACATCCATTCTCTGTGTTATTTCAAGTTCTAATTTTCTGAATTCTTCAACACGTTTATCTCTCTCTTCCTAAATTTATTTCACTGAATTATACGTCTTGAATAATAACTTCGAATACTAATCTTCTTACTTACGTATGCCCATTACCCCCAATCGAGCATAGGCCGCCCAACAGTTTTTTCCAACCAACTCTGTCCTGGGCTTCCCTTTCTAGTTCTTTCCAGTTTTTGTTCATTCATCTCATATCTTTCTCTATTTCTTTGGCCTTCCACTTTTCCTTTGACCTTGAGGGTTTCATTTGAGGGCTTGTCTTGTGACGCAGTTAGGTGATTTTCACAGTGTATGTCCTATCCACTTCCACCTCTTCTTCCTGATTTCCTCCTCCACTGGAATCTGGTTTGTTCTCTCCCATAGTATGTTGTTGCTGATCGTGTCTGGCCAACGAATCCGAAGTATTTCGCGAAGACAGCTGTTAGTGAATATTTGTATCTTCTGGATGATGGCTTTGGTAGTTCTCCAAGTTTCCGCTCCATATTAATCTTCTCCATTATCCCTAATACTTCTACTGCCTCTACTACTATGGGATTTGAATTGACAATTTCATCTCTGTGTGCTAATATAGTATGTCAGCTTGAACTATTGAACGTACGTACGCACAAAGGTCTACGTTGTTACTGACTCACTGACTAATCTTCTGAACAATATAATCAGCACCAATTTCAAGTAGAAATTGACTAACAGCTTGTTCTATTGACATTAAAAATGTTTCTCAGTTTATATCATCACATCGCTGCATGAAGAAATCAAGGAAAATATATGATGAATGAATATCTATTTCGATAGAAAATTGCTTCCTTATAAAATTTCATCAATAAATACTTATCGAAATGACAATCAGATAACAAAGCCAGTTGAGAAAATCAACAGTTTTACTCTCCAAGATCATGAAAAGGTTAATAATGCTATTAGTAATTATTAATACTTTACTTTAATTCTCAAGTAGGTAGACTAAGTGATCAAGAGGACACCTGGGTGGATCTTATGGTGTCGTGGCTCAGAGAACAGATAATGGCGACCATCTGCTGCAAGTATGCTCAGATAACTAACTATTTCTAGCAAACGCTAACTTTAGGCATAAGGAAAAACATCTGGGAAGTGACAATCGCCCTCATACCAATAACAGCACCTACAAAAAATCATTGCAATTAATGAATGACATAATGAGAAATGAAAACAAGATTCATTGTAACCGGTACTACAAATATCATCGATAGAACAATATGGTGATCGTTTTTTCTCAATATCTACTATGAATATCAGGTTAGCTGTAAAACAACTCAACTAAGCTTCTTTGGTTATATCATCAATATGTTTGTGGTAAAACTATGAACATAAATTGAACGAGGAAACTGTCGAAATATCAGGCAAAACAAACACAAAGTCAATGAATTTTTAAGAAAGCTAGCACTTTTTTTATTATAAATCATGCATCCATTAGTAGATACACTGAAATTTTGAGATAGTGGATGATTGTGATGAAGTTTTGTTCTCTCTGAGCCGGGGATGTGGTTTGGTTGTGGAGGTTTCATCATTGTTCTTCTTCTGAACACAACATCACTGACAGCCCAAACTTCAAGTATAGTAGTGGAATATTCGAATTTCTTCACGTATGATTTGTAGCTTGTTATGTTAACCTCGATATTGGTTGATTTGTAATTAACCTTTAACCTGTTGTTGTGAGCAACTTTATTTTAATCGACTGGATAAAGAGTAGGAAGGGTTTGTTTGTGACCGATTTGATCTCGTGTGTTGTTACGGGTATGAGGGCGGTTGTCACTTCCCGGCTGCCCACACCGTGAAAGGGTGTTTCATGAGGAGCCTGAAAAGGAAGGTAGATTAGTGTTGGTCTTAGAGACCTGAGAGCGTCACCACAGAGCCCAAGGGACAACTGTTTGAGGCCGGTCACGCACGGCCTTTTTATGGAAGGCTTTTTGAGGATTAGCTCCGCTCTTAAAGGCCCTTAGTGGGCACCCTTACCGCCGGAGACGGAAATCCGTGAGGTAGGATGAGGTGTGAGATTTTTAGGGTCTACCTTTTCTAACTCATTCCTTCCTTGTTAGAAGGCAGTAGCGCTGTTGATGAGTGCTGTCCGAGGGGAACACCTTACTGCTGTCACAACCCTCTGCAGTCAGCAGTACTACTTCGCTCTCAGACCTTGGGTAGCTGGTTTTAGTCTGATCGTTCTGCAATCGACCTGCCTGTCATGATAGAACCTTCAGGAACATATGTTCCAAGCAATATAGCTCTTTTGGGTCATCACATTAGGCAAGTGCGTCCACCACGTCAGGGTAGCATCTACGGTCGGAAGTCGATTGGATACAAATGCATCACACTGAAGAAATAAGAAAAAAAACGTTCTTCAGCCAATAAAATTGCAAGTCTATACATAATTTCAGTAGGAAGAGAAATTCTCATCCAATGGTATACAAGCATAAGAAGCTGTTAGTAGTCGACTAAAGGTGGAATTCTAATCGCTCATTTCTCTTTGAAATACAGGCTCCTTTTTTAGTGTTCAAAAGAACAATGAACCATCCATAGTATATTTAATAATACTGATAGATATGGAACATGTGTAACACAGTGTTACATGTGTTCAGGTCTTATGATATGTTTATTTACTACTGTTGTTCAATCTAGAATTTTAAATCAGTCTTCTTTTTCTTAGGTCATATTGTATTTGTCTTGTCTAATTTAGATGTATATCACTTGTGATCATATAAGATTGATGCACAAAGTATGATCATTCAGAAATGTGTCTGTCTTTTTATGACAATTAAATGATCTGAATTTTTAGATAATTTTCATGAGATTTGGTGTGATAATTATAAACTGTGCGTGACAAGTAGAGTTCAACCCTGTTGTGACTGTAGTCATCAGCAACTGCCGAAGACATTGGGTGACTTTGCGCATAAGTTATACATTAACATCTCAATGGTCTAGAGATTAAACATTCGTGCGTAAGACTGATGGTCCATTGGGTCAACTCTCATGAGCATGGGTCGTTGATACGTATTGCTGATAAGGCCCATATAAGGACAAAACAATCGTTCAATGCTCTCAGGTTTTTCTAATTTTTCTAATCTAACAATGTTAGGTTGATAATTTCAGCTGAGCTAATAATTATAGCTTATCCTCTATCATTTTTTTCTAATAAACCCATTTATTTCTCACGTGAACATCTCAAGATTATCAGGATACAACACAAATAGTTCAACAATAGTCATGATCTACAAATTGTACAATTAGATTATATCTAAAAATCGATAATATATTAAATACTCTATTGTATAAAAATGGGATCATTATTTAAGCATGTACTTTTTTTGGTTCACATCAAAAATTTGTCACCTTTCTTTTTCTTACATTTACTAAAGTGTGTATTTGTATATCTCACCAAAATAAAATTTACTTTTTAATCGGAATGATGATATGGATATTAAAATTAATGTTTTCAACTTTTATTTCGATAAAAATGCAAGTTACGTAATTCGATCAAGATAAATCTGTATAGGTTAATTTCATTTATAGAAGTTTGGAAAACAAAGAGAAACCTAATTTTTAATAGATAGAAATATTAAGAGTTAATGATACTATCCGATTTACATAAATCGAAGTAGCTGAAGTGTAGCAATCAAAAATGGTCAAATAAGGTCAAAAGTTTACTAAAATACGAATACATCTCATTGGTTGAGAAGTACGTTGCTTTTCTAAACGGGCAATATATATATATATACATCTAAGTATGTGATTCAACAGTTGTCTACGCGAAAAACTTCGGATTCGTTGGCCAGACACCATGAGCAACAACCTACTGTGGGAGAGAACAAACCAGATTCCTTCAATGGAGGAGGAAATCAGGAAAAAGCAGTGGAAGTGGATAGGACACACATTGCGGAAAGCACCTAACTGCGTCACGAGACAAGCCCTAACATGGAACCCTCAAGGCAAAAGTAAAAGAGGAAGGCCAAGGAACACATTACTCCGAGAAATAGAGAAAGATATGAGAAGAATGATCAAAAACTGGACAGAACTGGAAAGGGAAGCGGAGGACAGAGTTGGTTGGAGAAAACTGGTGGGCGGCCTATGCTCCATTGAGGATAACAGGCGTAAGTAAGTAAGTAAGTATACGATTCGCTAATCAAAAAGACTTTCTCTCCTATTCTTGTATTTTTTCTCTCAACTAGCTAATTTCGAGAGATCAGCACCTCTCTAAACCGACTGTTTTTTCTGGGTCATTTTCATACTTGTCATATATATATGTATATTCATACTCATAATTTGTCGTGAAAATCTTAGACGTAAAAATACCAAATTTGTCACTGGTCGGTTGATGTCTATATATATATATTTGTAAAAACTTGACAGTGACGTTTTGTCAAGTTACAAGTGTGTAACAATTCAACTTAGTTCAACTATTATTGTTGAATAGACTCAATGTTCAATTTGTTACATTGTCAATATAAACAAAATAAATAAATCAACAAAATGACATTTAAATAAATAAACGTTACAACAACTTTGACATTATTTATTACAAAAAAACCAATCAAATCGATGTGTAATAATTATTATGTTCAACATTTGTTTTGTTTTGTTTATTCTGTGTCTGGCGGCAAGTTGAACTAAGCTTTATGTAGAGTCAGTGAATGACAACGTAGAACTTCATATGTACAAACATAAGTTCGGGTTACCATACCATGTTAAGACAGAGACACGATTGTCAATTCAAATCCCATCTTTTCTTACTACTTACTTACTCATGTTACCCCCAATGGAGCATAGGCCGCCCACCAGTTTTCTCCAACCAACTCTGTCCTCCGCTTCCCTTTCCAGTTCTGTCCAGTGTTTGTTCATTCTTATCATATTTTTCTCTATTTCTCGGAGTAATGTGTTCCTTGGCCTTCCTCTTTTCCTTTTGCCTTGAGGGTTCCATGTGAGGGCTTGTCTCGTGACGCAGTTAGGTGCTTTTCGTAGTGTGTGTCCTATCCACTGCCACGGCTTCTTCATGATTACCTCCTCCACTGAAGGAATCTGGTTTGTTCTCTCCCACAGTAGGTTGTTGCTGATCGTGTCTGGCCAACGAATCTAAAGTATTTTGCGTGGACAACTGTTAATAAACACTTGTATCTTCTGGATGATGATGGCTTTGGTAGTTCTCCAAGCTTCCTCTCCATACAGTAGAACTGTCTTGACACTTGTATCGTGTCAGAGATAATAGAAGTATTACTAGTAATGGAAAAGATTAGGTTTCAAAGATATTGTTCAAGAAGTATAATCCAGTGAAATAAACTTTAAAAGAGAAAGATACATGTGATGAATTATCCAGAAGATTAGGATTCGAGAGAAGCTAAATAATAGATACACCTGCGCCATTGCGAACGATTCTGAGCCATATCATTCAAGGTCTCTAACCATCGGTTACAATCATGTCGCGGATCCCAACCAGGTAGCCCTACACCTACCAACCATTTTCAATCCAGTTGTCAGTAACTTCATGGATCTGTGCCATGTTTTGGTTTGGTCGACCCTAGCTTTTATTTTCAACCCTTCCCCATACACCACAAAAAAATACTAGTCGAGGCAGTCGGTGATTGGGCATTTGTGACACATGTTCCAACCAACTCAACTGATGCAGATTTACTACTTCATCAATGGATCTACCATCTGTCACACTTGAACTTCCCCATCAACACTGTTCGCTTACAGGACTCAAACATACATTAAGCATTTAAAATGAATCGTACTGAATTCGTGTTGATGGCCCATTTCACGTCGGGCTCACCAGATTTTTGGTGGCCGATTTCGACGTGTTCTTAATCTTCGTGATTAGCTCGTACAGACAATCGTTACTAACTAGCGTCTGACGGTTTATAAATCAGAAAGTGAACACAAAGTGTTGAAAAGGTTTATTTTTGACACATCACAAATAGAACAGCAGACTACAAGCGCTATAAGATAAAATCGTCATGCGACCGCCGGAAAGCAGGCAAGCTAGTGAATAGGCGAATGAACGGATGAAGCGATGTGGAGATGGCTAGTGAGTCAACTCCAAGAGATAAAGCATGACTAGGAATTTATAGTCAGACAAAAAAGAAGACAGACATGTGACCAGCGAAATAGGCATGCACAAACATGATGAATACAAGCGACGAATGAGTGACAAGGTAAAATGACAAGTGGGACAAGTCATATGAGCTAGACATTGAAAGACTCACTACAGTGTCTCAGTGCTCAAATAAACACTGTGATCGAAATTTCTCAGAGAAGATAAAATATAAGTTCTTGATTTTGATAGGTAACCGTTATCTACTTCTATCCATCTACAGTTTGTACTGCTGCTGATGATGTTGGTGTTCAACCAAACCACATCCTCAGCTCAGTGTGAATGAAACTCCATTAGGGGGTTCTCTTTATTTTTGAAAAAAATCATTGTTCCATAAAATAATATTTATATATGTACACACACACACTCTTTCTCTGTTTATTTCCTCTTCAGGTGTTTTAGTGGTATCATGGTATCCAAAGGGTATGTCAGATGATAATGGAAAACCTGTGGATGATCTGATCATGCCATTATTAAACATAGCTGATCAATATAAGATAAAAGTATGTGTTATTGATTTGTATTTCTCTCTCATTTTTTGTTTTAAAAGTGCACATCTGTTAGTCTACTTTTATATGAGAGTGTAACTATTCTATTGATTTATTAAATGATTGTTATTTTGTGGTGTAGGAGGAGTTGGTTGGAAGAAAGCTCTAGGGGCGGCCAAACCAAAACATGGCAGAAATGCATGAAGTTACTGACAAGTGGATTGAGTCATGTTGGTAGATGTAGGCTATCTGGTTGGGGTCCGCGAGACGATAGTCACCAATGGTTAGAGATCTGGAACGACATGGCTCAGAATCGTTTGCAGTGGCGCAGGTGCATTCACTGTTTATGTTCTCTCGAATTCTAATCTTCTGAATTCCTCATCATCTCTATCTTTCTCCTTCTAAATTTATCTTACTGAATTATACTTCTCGAATTATATCTTCGCTCCGTAATCTTCTCCACTACTGCCCTCACTTGGTATCCACAAGGTAAAAGAAGTTGAAGACCAAGTAACATATTACGTCGATAATTGCCAACAGACATGAAAAGAATGAACAGCGATTAGACAGAATTGAGAAGTAAGTCCCTAGGATAGAGTAGATTGGAAAGAATGCTGATCGGTGGCCTATGCTCGATTGGGAGGTAACAGGTCTAAGTCAGTAAGTAAGAATAGTACGTAATGTTGTGTTTTCGCGTGTTGATTGATTGAGTTAAAGCCTTACCTATTCGTAAATTCCCAAACCCTTGATTCATATGTGCATAGACTATTTGTCATGACCTTGAATTTGCCCCCGGTAGTCTTAAAACCATTTTTTTGACCGAATGGAATGTGAAAATTTCTTTATTTCATTCCTTATGAAGTTCATTTTCTCTCTCTCTCTAATTTTTTACACTTATCAACTTATGTTTATTTACGCATTGTTGCTTGAAAATAACTTTTAAGCAGATTGTTTTAAATTGTATAACATAAAAATACATTGTGACATTTTTCAGATCCAAGTTTTTAAGTTTTTATATTGAATATTTCTTAAAATTAATGGAAAGTGCTTTTGAACCTTTTGACTTATGTGGTATGCATTTCAATAGTATTGAATTGATCAAATTAGACATTAACATCGTTAGATACTGGCTCAGTGGTCCGATGATTAGGCGTTCGCCTACAATACCGAAGGTTCTGGGTTCGAATCCTGCGGGGTGCAGCAGTTGTGGATGCGCACTGCCTACTTGAGGAGTCCCATACCATGGACTGAAACTGGCCGTCTTACAAGTGCTTCCAGGTTTCTAATGTTGTCGGTCTAACATTGATCGATTCATGGTTTCAAAAATGTGTAACTTAACAATCTTCACAACCCCGTAATTTCAACAGTAATAAAATATAATTAAGTAAACAAGATTACCGAATTGGATTGATTGTTAGTATGATTTGAATCAATTTTCTTCGAAATAATAACAAGAGTTTCGATTCATTAAAGTTTTGACTTTCCTTCATGTTGATCAAAGAGATCAGTTGACTTCAGTGTAGGGTTGTACAGATTGTTAAGTTACTTTTTGCATTCATGTATTGATTAATGTTAAACCAGCATTAAAAACCTGGAAGCATTGAACAGCCTTCATGTCTTAGTATGGGACTTATCATCTCCAAAAGCCTATAATGCAAATTATCATGTGATCACTAGTGACTAGCTCCGTTAAGAAGTTTCTCCGAGTTCTAGTGAGAAGTCGTGACCAGTATAGTGTAGTTTAATCTTGTTCGGCTGTGACGGAATGCTCATCGAACACAGTGAATGAGGTTGCGCAAAATGTGTGGATTGATAGAAGTTAGACATTAACTCTGTTGGATGCTGGCCTAGTGATCCACCACTGGCTACACTCCATCTATTTTTATTCAGGGGTTTAATTACAATTGTGATATCAAGATATGTATATCTGTATACAAGATTACAAACTATAGTATGAGACTCTGTGTTTTATTTAGTATACTGGAAACATAAAGTTTACAGAACTTAGAAACAATGGTCATAGTATGAAGTGTCCTTCATAAAAATTGTTTCATGCATTCTTATAGCTTTAAAAATGTATGATACTTATTTATTTACATTACGGGTTTGTAAAGATTGTTAAGTTACACATTTTTGAAACCATGAATCGATCAAAGTTAGACCACCATTAGAAACCTGGAAGAAGCACTGGACGGCCGTTTCGTCATGATATGGGACTACTCAGTAGCAGTGCGCATCCACGACTCCTGCACCCCGCAGGATTCGAACCCAGGACCTTCGGTATTGTAGGCGAACGCCTAACCATTGGACCACTGGGCCGGTATCCAATTAGTTATCGGAGATACTTGAAGTAGTAGTAATCAGAACTTGTTCATTCTTTTACGAATATAAAAATCAATGATAGTCAGTCAGTCAGTCAGTTCAAGTTAGTATACAATGTCGACAAAAGAAAAATCGTACAACTTCTACAAAATGCGTCGGTTACGGAAATCATGAATCAATCAGTGCTAGACTACCATTAGAAACCTGGTAGCACTGAAAGATGGCCGTTTCGTCCTGATATGGTACTCATCAGTGGTGTGTATCCATGACTTCTGCTAGTCTCAGTATTCAATCTCAGGACCTTTGGTCTGGCACGCGAATGCATTGATTAGTCTAGGAATTTCGCTCAACCTCATCCATTGTCTTTGTTAGTTTACTGACTACATCCAACAGGGTTGAACTCTACTGATCACATCTTCGCACTAGAACTCCTAGCATTGCCTCACGAGGTTAGTTACCAGTGAGCATCACCTGTGGATGAGGTCGCACTTCAAGGTTGTTGGTTATCCATTGGTGATCTAACATTGATCGATTCATGATTTCAGTAATAAACAACAATCTTCATAACTCTGTAATGGAAAAATAAACTGTTCCGAATACAAAGAACACTAACTGCATCGCACAAAGTAGATGAGCTATTTAGCTTCGTGTTATAATGTTGCTTTGTAGCTAGCTATTCGAAATCCTACTGATTTGCCCAAATTTAGATATTCCAGTACAATCCCAATTATTGTTCCCATATCTCTAGTATATTGTTAAATGAAGTTGCTTATGGGGTCGAGTACAGAAGGAAGGAAGCAATTCAATTATAAGCTTTACAAATATTACATATTTATACAGTCAGGTCGAATAGGAAACAACATTTGAAGTCTGTGACCTTGATAGTTAGGACGACCATAATATTGACCAATAGAATTAGACTGCCGAAAATAATTCTCTTAGGATATTTGATATCAATATCCTCACATTTTGTCTGAATGAACGTCTGGTCAATGGTAGACATATGTATTCGACTGGATAGGAGGATAGAGGAAAATTAAGTAAGCATTATTTACAAACTTCATATTCAGGTCGATCAGTAATCAATAAACCAATATGGAAATTGATCCAATTTAATCAACCAATCAAAATAACAACAATCAAACTAAAGAATGCAGACATTAATTATTAGGTTAAAGGTCATATTTTCAGAGTCGTCATTGATCAAATACTTGAATTTCATTTAACGTTTATGCTGATATATGTGTGTGATGTAGGTCGTCGGTTGATGAGAAGAGAACCTCTGAAAACCTCATCAGAGTAATTCGTCTAGTTCAGAGAAACGACACTCCATCAAAACTATCAATCTACAAGTGTTCCTTTGTATCATCTAATCATATTAATGAACATGCTTATGGAATATTGGTTTTCACATGAATATATATATATATATATATATATATATATATATATATATATATATATATATATATATATATATATATATATATATAACGCTATGAAATGAAAAAAGAGTTTTGTACATAAATATACTAGTCATGCAGTTATATGCAATGTAAAACTTACTTTCTAATGGTGGTCTGACAATGATTGATTAATGATTTCAAATGTGTAAAAACGCAAACCTCCAAAACTCTGCCCCAAAATATCGTAAGAGTGCTCACTAGTGACTAGCTTCGTGAGGAAATTCTCGGAGTTCTAGTTGAGAAGACGTGACCAATGGAGTTCAACCCTTGTCGGGTGTAGGCAGTAACTACCAAAGACAAATGGATGAGGTCACGCAAAATCCCTAGATCAATCAGAGTTAGACATTAACACCGTTGGATGCCGGCCCAGTGGTCCGATGGTAAGGCGTTCGCCTACAATGCTGAAGGTCCCGGGTTCGAATCCTGCGAGGAGCAGGAGTCGTGGATGCGCATTGCCACTGATGAGTAGTCCCATACCAGGACGAAACGGCCGTCCAGTGCTTCCAGGTTTCTAATGGTGGTCTAACAATGATTGATTGATGATTTCAAATGTGTAAAAACGCAAACCTCCAAAACTCTGCCCCAAAATATCGTAAAACTTACTTCAGTTCAAGTTAGCATACAATATAAATACAACACATCAATCAATCATTGTTAAAACAGCAACCAGCAGCATTAGAAACCTGGTAGTGTGATCGCACTCACTCACAATTGATTTTTTATGATTCCAGTAACAAAAAGAAAAAAACAATCTCTACAACTCCATGCGAAAAACAGTTAACTACTTGGGATAATAGAGTGGAAGAGCTTTCCTAGCTTTATTTAACTTTGATCGATTGCTGTTTTCAAATATGCTCACTAGTGTCTAGCTCTCCATGAGGAATCTTCTCTGAGTTCTAGTGGGAAGTGGTAACCAATGAAGTTCAAGTGTACACAGTAACTACCGTATGGAGTCTCATCAGAGCTGATAGCCTGGTGACTGACGAAATCTCAGCTCGGATAGAGAAAGCTCGATTGGCTATTGCCAACCTGCATCACTTATGGCGTAGGCGTGATATCCGTTCGCTAACCAAAGGACGGGTGTACTGCGCAGCAGTTCGCTCCGTTCTCCTATATGGCTGTGAAACATGGCCGTTAAGAGTAGAAGATATTCGTAGGTTACTAGTATTCGATCGTAGATGTTTAAGAAGCATTGCTCGTATATCATGGGACAACCGAGTAAGCAATGCTGTCGTTAGGAAACGAGTAGTAGGTAATGATGGCAGATCAGTAGATGAAGTGGTGAAACTTCATCAGTTGAGGTGGTTGGGACATGTGTTACGAATGCCTAA